GAAGTGTGTGCTCTTTGTGTACATACAGGACGTAATTTAAGCATTTCAGATGCATTAGCTACACATAGCTGTAGCATCCCGTACTGCAGGAAGAGAGCGGCTTCCAGTATGTCAGAGTGGGCTTTTCGCTTGAACAACCGCAAGGAAGATACCTGCGTAATGTCGACATACTATCATCCATACAGCATCATACCATCTCTGTAATGTTTTGTTCGAACTGTACTGAATCTGAATTTTATTTTGAAATAGTTGCTGAAACCGGAAGTACCACTACCAGCTAAATGATGGTGTTATGCTTGTGACGAAGCAGCCGAAGCTGAATTGAACAGAACACTCTAACCGGTGTGCAGGTGGATAGACACAAGACCATCCACATTAAATAAACTCAATATTTCCCAATATTTCATACCTAATAGGAAATAAAAGCATATAAAATGTGGTAGTACCGTCATTGTTTCTTTTTCCTGTAATGTAAATCAGCTGACTCTCTTTAACTTATCTCGTAATTATGACATCTTGTCTAATAATTATGAGATCCTAATTGCATCTTATCTCATAATTCTGAGATCTTTTCTCGTAATTATGAGATAAGATCTTGTAATTATGACATCTTATCTTATAAATATGAGATGTTTTCTCATAATTATGAGATAAGATCTTGTATTTTTTCTCATAATTATGAGATAGTTTCTTGTAATTATGAGATCAGGGGTCCTAATTTTTTTTATTTGGTGACTGCAATGCTCTTCCTTATTAATGTAGGCATTTGACAGAAATTAAAGAAACTATAATTCAGTTAAAGGCTTTCAAACAGCTTAGTTCTAACCTGCACACATAGTCAGCTTTACATATCCTCATCTGTGTAATGCAGTTAGGTTTGTCCACACTTTCATAGGAACAGCTGGGTACAATGGTCTGCCTCCGACGCTCGGCGCATGCTGTGTCCGTACAGGGGCAGAAGAGCAGCTGGTGTGTGTAGTCTGCAGGAACCCGGTCAAAGAACCTGCGCAGGGCCTTATTGCATTTTGGCCGGTTGCACAGGCCTGATTTGGCAGTGGGTTTGATACAAGCTGAAACATATTCTGTGCGAAGCTTCTGGCACAAGTCGTCCACGTTGCAAGCCTTGGCCGCATCCAGGCAGCGATTGACCGTCGCCATGCCAACATCCGTGTCTGTGGATGAAAGTGGGATCAGAAACAAGATATCAACGGAACACCAAAAGTCACATGACACGTGTGATTTATTATTTAATTATGTTGAGAAGCATTTTTCTTGTTAAAAAGTCATATCAGACGGTTAAACATTGAACCCTGGAAACAGCTTTATGAAAGGATGTAAACAAAGACAGTGAAACTCGCTCTGGAATGAATTATGAGTCATTATTTGTTTATGTCATTGTCATCAGGTCATGGGATGTAATAGATTAATCACTTTTTGTCTTTTAACAAAGTGATTGAGAAGGATTTTTGTGAAATCACATGCTGAAGTTGTTTGGCAGCACAGATCAAAACCTAAACTGCAATTCAAGTATTAGTTACACAACATCAGCTGGAAATGTAGGAGATGGGGGCAAATTGTTGCAGTTGTGGTGCCTGCCCTAATAAAGTAAACGTTGTGATTTGAAGCTAAACCATCATTTTCTTCAACCAAAGCAAGCAGATCAATGTTGGAGCTTGTCTCAGTTACTTTCATCAAAACAAGTACATCAACCAGCTTGAAAGTTAACAATAAAGGAGTTTAAGGCTTAAATAGTGGATAATCACAAAGGATTTCCTCATTTMATAAAGTATACCCTCATATTTTTTATGTTTAGTTTGGGTTTTTTTTGTTTTGTTTTGTTTTTTGTTTTGTAATTTATGTAACACCGTCTTGATTTAAAGCATAATTGTTACCAAATCCCTACTATTTTATAGCATTGAATAGTGAGTTTAAAAAATCTCAGGTAATTCCGTCMGACCATCCGTTTTCTTCCATTTATCCGGAATCGGGTTGCGGGGTGAACAGCCAAAGCAGAGACATCCAGGCTTCCCTCTCCCCAGCCACTTGGGCCAGCTCCTCTAGGGGAATCCCAAGGTGTTCCCAGGCCAGCCGAGAAACATAGTCCCTCCAGCATGTTCTGGGTCTTCCTCTGGACCTCCTCCCAGTGGGACTTGCCTGGAACACCTCACCAGGGAGGCGTCCAGGAGGCATCCTAACCAGATGAACCACCTCAACTGGCTCCTCTCGACGTGGAGGAGCAGCGGCTCTACTCTGAGTCCCTCCTGGATGTCTGAGCTTCTCACCCTATCTCTAAGGGAGAGCCCAGCCACCCTGTGAAGGAAACTCATTTCAGCCGCTTGTATCCGCGATCTCGTTCTTTCGGTCACTACCCAAAGTTTGTAACCATTGATGAGGGTAGGAACRTGGACCGACTGGTAAACCGAGAGCTTTGCCTTGTGGCTCAGCTCCCGCTTCACCACGACAGACCGGTACAGCGCCCACATCACTGCAGATGCAGCACCAATCCGCCTGTCAACCACCCCGCTCCATTCTTCCCTCATTCGTGAACAAGACCCTGAGATACTTRAACTCCTCCACTTGGGGTAGGACCTCCTCCCCGACCCTGAGGCGGCACGCTACCGGTTTCCGGCTCAAGACCATGGTCTCGGATTTGGAGGCACTGATCCTCATCCCGGCCGATTCACACTCGGCTGCGAACTGCTCCAGTGAGAGCTGGAGATCACGATCTGGTGAAGCCAATAGGACCACATCATCTGCAAAAAACAGAGATGTGTTCCTAATGTCACCAAAAAGGATCCTCCCAACACCTTGGCTGTGCCTAGAAATTCTGCCCATAAACGTTATGAACAGAATCGGTGACAAAGGGCAACCTTGGCAGAGTCCAACTTTCACCAAAAACGAGTCTGACTTACTACCGGCAATGCAGACCAAGCTCTGGCACCGGTCGTACAGGGACCTAACAGCCCGCATCAATGGGCCTGGTACCCCATACTCCCGGAGTACCCTCCACAGGAGTCCCCGAGAGACACGGTCGAACACCTTCTCCAAGTCCACAAAACACATGTAGACTGGTTGGGTGACTCCCACGCGCCCTCCAGGACCCTGCTGAKGGTGTAGAGCTGGTCCGCTGTTCCACGACCAGGACGAAAACCACGCTGCTCAGGTAATTCATTTAGAATATAAAATAACTGCAAAGCACTGTTCAATCAATAAATGCTGTGAATTAAAGAAAACATAATTTATATTTTCTGTAAAAATTGTTCTTTTAATGCACCATACAAACAATAAATTTTATTTTCAATAGAAAAAGGTTATTAGGAACTCCCATAATAATGTTGTTAAATTCATAAAACATTTCTTTCAATATAATCTGAGAAACCACTGCAGTAAAGTCTTTCAAACTGCACTATTTGATATAGTTTAGAAACATTTTTTGTTTGTTTCATGTCTGATTTCGTATTTTGCAGTGAGTACCTTTAAGCCACAATATTCAATATGCTGCTTGAAGTTGTAATAACAAAAGAATTTCATGAAATAAATTTATGATCAAATATGTACACAGTCTTGAAGGATAAAACTGTAAATGTTGATGAAAGGTAATAAAATCATTTTACCTGCTGTAATAGAGGCTAAACGAACATAATCGTAATCCCTCTGCACTGCCTCATATGGATAACTCTCCACGAGGTTCAGTCCTAAAAGATAGATTCAAAGAAAATTTGGATTAAATTAATTAACAGTTTAAAATAAAAAAATTATCACAATCAATTTCATTCAGTTGTTTTTACACTCCACGAGGCTTGATCATAAATTATATTCATGATTTTGTCAAAGATATGTGTGCTTTTTTTTTAAACAAACTGTTGACCAAATTCACCAACCGTGTATGATGGACTGATGAAGACTCCAGTAGATGCTTAGGCAGTTTTTTTCCTTCTTCATTCCTCGTTTACACTGGCAACCATGCAAYGGGCTGGACAGAAGGGCGGACACTGCATTGGCACACTGGCTCCTGGCTCCTGGGCCGAGCTTCATGCTGCCGTTTCCCGCTACACACTGACGTAAAGTACGCAGACGTGGACTACATGTCTCATCCCCGGAGCACGAATCTCCAGCCACCAAACAGTCTGTGCCGGCCAGAATGACTTCTAACAAGGCTGCGGGAGAGGAAATCAGAGCACAAAAGAGCAGAAAGATTAGGGCGAGCTGAGAGCCCTTAAAAAGCCAGATTGGTGGTCTGGAATATAAAAAGTGGAGAAACTCAAAAACATTTTAAGGAATAAATCTAAACTGTTGTATGGTAATGAGAATTATGTTAAATCAGTCCGAGCCTCATTGTGGAATTCTGGAAACGTGCAAATGCGGAGGTGAGGTTCTCTTGCAAGTATGCAATTATCATAGCACTGCTCTCATACAATGTGCTGAAATTTTAATGGGTTTAGCTCATGTTTTTTTTTCCTCTCTGCAGCTTCAAAAGCTTGAATGTATTATGAATTTTAAGTTAGTTAAAACCCCGGGAAGAAATCAGGCTGCTTTGTTTTTGCTGTTCTCAGAGTGGAAAAGAATGAGGAAAGTTGACGGCATGATCACTGTAATGAATTATATATTCTTAAGTAAATATGTTTCATTCATATATTTAACAATTATCTTTTTTATTAACACCTCCCAAAGTAGATAAAGTGGTAAATCTATTTTTCTCCTCTTTTTTTTTGTAAGGACTGCATGGATTTTATACTCTCGAAACTTTCCCAGAATCTGAAAAGAATATATTGTTTTTATTGCATTATATTATCTACATTCTAGAAGGCAGTAAAAGTTCAACAGCAGGTCCTGCAATGTAAAAAGTATGAATTTGCATGTATTGTGAATATTTGTAATAACTGTTTTTTATATTTTAGATAATGAGCTCCAATATAGTTTTTATCTTTTTGAGCTGTGGGTGAGTAATATGGGTGAGGTGGGCTTTGGTCTATCCTTAAAAKTACATATGTGAATTTAAGTAAAGCTCTTAAATAACTTCCAGRAGAAAAAAATGAAGAGTGGATGTATTTAACCATTATCAAGATGTATTTATACTATTGTCAATAAAGACAGATGGTGCCAGATGTATTCTGGCACTTATCCTCTCCAATAATTCATCTACCTTTTAAGTTGCTTTGATTCCCAGCTGATTAAAGCCTATTTAGTGAACTGGAGATTTTGAATTTTAAGAGTATAATAAAAAAAAAAAGTAATGATACAGAGAAGATTTTTAAAAATGCTTAGATATCTCAAACCAAAAAGGTAAAATTGTCTGATGATTTTCAGGATGACAGAAAAACAAGCAACTTTATTGTGTGGAGTATTGGAATYTTTTTTAAGAGTATTAATAATTTAAATGTCTGGTATTCAGTGTGAGTTGAGGATTCTTTTAACWTTTACGTGCAGCCAAGGCAGCTAGCATAACTCAGATACATTTTACCCTCTGTAATTTTAGTCATTTTTAATAAAGACCTTCATTAGGAATTCATGATCACACAAGTACTCACTCATCACCCAAACCAAAGGGTTATTGATAAAATCAGGCATAAAAGCAGACCTCAATGATTAAAAAAAAAAACTAAAAAAAAAACCAACATCAAAGAATGGGACACCTGAAAAAGTAAAGTTCTGGCTGAAAAAGCTGCAGTGCAGGAAGACAGTTTGGAAGTCATCAGTGATGCTCAGGGTTGTGACTTGTCCATCCAACCATTAATCTGCTTCTTCTTTTCAGGGTCATGGGGGTCATTTGGTGCCTATTGCTTCTGGCTTAAAGCTGTTCAATGTCAGTCCATCATGATAGAGAGAAATGACCATAAAGGACACAAATATTAAGACATTTAAAAGGAGAACTCCGAACCGTTTAAAGCCAGGTCATAAAGCTCATTTTCATTTTATGTCCTCATTTAAACATTAAACAAGTGTAATTCCATACATCCATTTGTTCTGCTATGCAATGGTTGACTCACAGAGGCAACAGGTTCAAAAGGAAACCCAGGTGTCCTCTACAAATCTTTTTGGGCGTACGTTGAGATCTCCCTGTGGGATGTTCTCAGACCTCCAGATTAATGGCCTCGACACATGGGGAGCGACAAAGACAGCGATTAACGGCTGTCATCGCAACCAGGGTGAAACCCAACACACAGGATGCGATGGCGACGGCAGCGTTGTGAATCATGCTCTCGGGTCAATTGTCCTCAAGAAATTTGGTTGGTTCTTTTACACTATTTGTCTGAATTGGATTCACCACCTTGAGATGTACCAGCAGAACATTAAAGCAGATGAAAAATTGTTACCGACTGCCTGGCTCTTCTGTTCCCAAAACAACTGATTACAGATTTGTCTCTCCCCTACAACGGCCTTGAAGAACTGTTGGACTAAATTCTTCCTGGATACTGACATCGACTGAGGCTCTGCCCCCCCCCCACACACACACACCCGTCTGTGATCTGGTTCCTGGAGCAGGCTGAAGGCCGCACAGAATGAACACTTAACATCCATATTCTGAACTATGGCTGTGCTGGTTTTGGGGACTGGATTCCTCGGGCTTATTCTTCAGATATTCACACAAGCATACAACACTCATGGCTTCAGATACAAGCCCCGCTAAACTCACTTACTCCTCTGGCTAAAAAATRTGCTCTACRCAGAGGCTTTTTAAAATAAAAACCATAGTGTGTCACATTGTTGATTTAATATRATGTTTTGTTTTGTTTTTTCCTCATCTTCCCTTATGTGGTTTTTAGTTTTTCTGTTGTTAAAGGTAGCGCAACTGTGTTTGCTGCATGACCKGTTTCACTGGTTCCCCCATGTTTGCCTTGTATGTCTTCTTGAATGGGTGTTTCTTAACTGCCCCCTCCCCCTTCCCTGAATGTACAGCACCTTGGGAATTTATTTCTGTGAAAGAGCGGCGTTGCCTCCCGTGTGATCAAGAAGGCATTCTGATCAGAAGGTCAAACTACCTCATCTCACTCAAAACTTAATAATAGATGCAAGTCAACTGTTATTTTCAAAGTAGAGATGCATCAGTTTTACACCAGCTCCTCGCTTCTCTCTAAGACTGAGCCCAGCCACCCAATGAAGGAGGACAATTTTTGCGGTTTGTATTACTTCGGTCATGATACTTCTAGGAGAGGGTTAAAAAAGATGGACAAGTAAACGGAGAGGTTCGCCTTTTTTGGCTCAGCTCTTTTTTTTCATGACAGACCAGAACCTGCAGACAAGGCCCCAATCTGTCGCTCCATCTCCTGCTTCATCCAACCGTCACTCGTGAACAAGACTCCCAGATGCTTGAACTTCTCCGCTCGAGGCAGAAACACTCCCACAACACACACCCACTTCTGTTGTTTCAAAAGTAATGAATGTTTGTGAATCCTAACCTTTTTTTATATTTCTATTTTCTTTAAGTTATTCTGCGAACATATTTCTAAGAATGACCCACATGGTGCATCTTATCATTCACACTCTGAAACCTCATATTATCTGTTTTATATATTTTTTGTTTACCCTTTTCCTCAGATCCGCCTTTTTGTATTCAGAGCTGTATTCCCTTATTTACACTGTACTCTGAAGCAATATTGCTTCAGCTATGTTTTGATCTCTACAACATGCATGCATAAAAAGAAATTATTTGAAAAGTTTGTCATATTTTGTCAGCTTCACATCAGTAGTCATTTAAACTCTAAACAACCATCAAACACAAGTCAGATAGGCACATTTAATATGAATATGTAAAAAAGGTTTCAACCTTTGCCGGTGACCTGGAAGGTCATGTCACAGGCATAGGTAGACAAAAAAAATTGCAATAATGTTTTTTTTTAGCACTGAGGGTCAGTTTGTGCTGCCTTGCTAGATGCTGAAATAGACATCATACATCATGAATGCAAATTAGTCACTTGATTTGACATTTCCAATAAGCCTGTCTCAGTGAACCAGGTTTAGGCTATTAACCACGTCAGTAATCTGTGTGTTCTGAGCTTCAGTAAGTCCTCAGTCTCCCTGCCACATAAATCACAGGAAGATTAGCTGATCAGTTACCCTTGCGCACTGACTTAATGGTCCACTTCAGCAGAGATAAAACAGGGGGAAAGGAAATCTAATGAAGTCAGCCGGAATGTTACCTTCACTTGTACAAACCTACGAGCATGGGAAGCTTTTGTTGAAAATATGATGCAATAATGCAGAAAATAATACTGATTATGTGCTCCTGCTATTTGTAAATGATTTGTAACACTAACATGTCAAGCTATTTTAGTTCAATCACCTGTTCCATCAGTGAACTATACCAGTTTCTGAACAGTTTCCCATTACAGTAAGTTACTTTTTTCTACTATTTACACTATTTTACTAGCTTTTCTTGAGGCCAGTTTAATATTACATCAATTTCAGACTAATTGTAATACCATCTACATGAGTGTGATGCAGCTTTAAAGAAACAAATGATGCTTTCCTTGATAAGTTGGCAGCCCACAGCTCTTTTTCTGTGCAGTTAAATATGTGTAGTCATTAAACAACATCAGAAATGAAATGTGTGTTTCATCTGCAGTCTGTGCCTTCAGGGAGGGGATGTGGTAATTTGCAAACATTAGAAGGTAGCAACTTTATATCTTATTTAAATCTGCAGACTTCTGGTTGGTTCTCAGTTAAATGCTGGTCTGTCATAATGAAGCTCATTATCATTTAGCTGCTTTTTCAGTTGTATTTATCATGATCACTCTGACACCACAAAGTCAGTCAGTGTTTCTGCCACCTACAAGCAAAAGCATATTAGCGTGCACGATGTGTTAGCAGTTTGAGGATGTGTTGAAGATGACTCTCAGCTACTACCAGATAAAGCTTTAGCTCAAAAATCTGTATATTTGACTACGGTTGATTAGCTTTGATGGCCGTTTTTAAACTGCTTGTCTTTAAATGTTAATCCTTTGTGGACGTACATCTAATGAATATGTCCTAAAACTTTAAATAAAATACAACCATTGGTTAATCAGATATTTTGCTAACACTGCAGTCAAACCAACACATGTACACTCCTTTGCTGTTAAATAATCAACTGGTGACAGCGTACTTGGGGAAAATGTGGGTACATTAAACATTTTATTGTTGTTGTTGTTTCCAGTAAAATAATAAATTTACTTATGAA